TAAACATGAGTGTGCAGTATTTTGTCAGTTTTAATGTTTGGAGAATATTCTGTTAGGAAACTTGTTTTGAAAGTCTCACTTTTAATAAGGTGCCTCTGTACTTTTCTTAGCTGGATGAAAAAGAAAGCCGACGCCTTTTTCAACAAATCCTTTCTGGTGTGGATTACTGTCACAGACATATGGTCGTGCATAGAGATCTGAAACCTGAAAATGTCCTGCTTGATGCACACATGAATGCAAAGATAGCTGATTTTGGTAAGTGTATTTTTTAGTTTCATATGTTCATTTTTTTTTTTTTTGATAAATAGAAGTAGCTTTGTTCAAATAACTTTTAGTAAAAGCTGGAATGTTCTGAAGTGATAGATATATCCTCACCATCTTATCCATGAGTAAGGAAAAAGAAATAATTTTTCTGTTTTATGTCTTTAAAAGCACAGGTTTTGTGATGGTAGGTCAGTACTTTAGGTTGGCAGTATAAGAAACATCATTTGAAAAAACTGTTATTTGTACACGAGAAGGATAGCAATCTCATTTTTAATATATTCTTTTGATTTAATTTGAGAAAAGAGAAATGTGACTCGAATGGAGTTTCCAAAATTTCAAAAGCCAGAAGTGCACGGCATAAGCAAAATTATTAAAAGTGCTTAAGTGATAGAAAAGCATAATTTCAGCTTGAGGGAACTCTATTAGTAAAACAATTCTTTTTCCTTATTTCATATATAAAACTAAGAGGAGGAGGAATCTCTGCTGCTCTTAGTTAATTTTGGTTCAACTCAAAGGAGCTTCTTCCATCCACAGTTTTGTGTATGTGTTTTTACTCTCGAGTCACTGAATAGTGCAGCCCTAAGCTTAAGTGACTTTTATGTGCCTGGCTAAATTATTTGACTGACTTATTTCTTCAGTGTCATGATTATTTTTATAGTTTAATTAATTTTATAGAGTTGGAGTTCTTTTTAGGAGAGAATAGAATAAAACCATAGATGAACAAATTTGGAGATTTAAAATTACTTGTTTTTTTCAAAGAATCAGGACAAGGTTAATATAACCTTTGACTTTTAGTCCTTTTTATCTGTTCTGTATGGTTTTTACTAGTGATTTATTTATTAATAAATTAATAAAAACCAAAACCAATGCCAGGTATATTCTCCTAGGCAGAATTATCCATAGCTTAATATATCTCCATTAAACTCTAGTGATGACTAACTTTTAAGTATTGAAGTAAACTACAAATTTTAGAGCATAAAAGCAGGATATTTGGGAACAGTGAAGACTCTGATTTTATGGAAGAAAGATTAGCAGTCTGCTACATAAAAGATACCAGTTTACACAGAACCTGAGAAATGACCTGCTACTTTAATGTCAGTGCACTTTTAGAATTTAATGGGACTTTTGGTTCTCTTTTTGTCTGTGGGAAATCTTGAGTAGTTGATTTCTGCACTTTCAGGTCTTTCCAACATGATGTCGGATGGAGAATTTTTAAGAACCAGTTGTGGCTCACCCAACTATGCTGCCCCAGAAGTCATATCAGGAAGGTAGTAGTCTTCTGCATTGCCCTTGACTTTGTAAATTTTTGTGATTATCTTTTTCTCCCTTTAATTTTCTGTTTTCTTGTATATAATTTGAATTGAAGGAAAGAAAGCAAAGGTTTATTCTTTTCTTAGCTAGAAAATGTTCTTTTTTAAGAATAAACATTATAAATGAATCAGGTTTGATGATTCCATTCATAGGGGACAGGGCTGGTTTGCAGATCAGTATTAAAGTATTTAGATGGGAGTACTGCAGTCTTTCTTGGGTGAAATAAATTAAAATAGCAAGTTTTAAATGTTGGTAAGATAAAAACTTGAATAAGCAAACACATATTTGAAGAAGGAACACTCATGGTGTGGTCCAGAGTGTGTTGTGCTGCAATTCTAACTACTGTAGTTTTGGCAGTTTCAATGCTCAGGAGAGAGACGGATAAGCCTTATCAAATAAGGTAGGTATCTGTTAGGATTTACAGCTGTGGAAACCCAATGGGGAGTTGGTATGTCAGAATGACTTGACGGCACTGAGTTTGAGACTTAAAGTTAGAAATGGAGAATTAATTAGATAAAGAAGTAAAAATATGGTGTGTAGCTTAAATTGTCCTAAAAGATGGCATTTTCCAAAAGATGTTAGCAGCTTTAAGGTTTTCATTAGGAGTTCTGGTGGAGTAATGTCTTACGTGCTAGGCTGCTGTTTGGGGGAAAGATGACCAGTCTCCTCCATTAAGGTCAAGTGGTGGGCCACCACGAGTCCAGATTGACTGGGCAGCAGTGGCTTGGTTTTGGTTTAGCGTGTGTGTTATTAGCACAGTGCTTTGGGGAATCAGAGAAATCAGACTGGAATAGTGATGAAATATGGTGAGTCTTAATTCTTGGAATGTTCTAGAGATGGTAGCATTGAAGAATTCTAACTTTTCTTTACTAACCACCAACTTTGAGGCCATGAGGGTATGTATACTTGTAGCTTTCTAAAATGTCTTACACAGAACAATTTTAAATTTTTAAGACTTAATTCTTTGTTCTTGTACTGTGTAAATTAAAAATAGAGACGCTTGAGTTTGTTTACTCACTTTTATATAATTTACTTCCCCTCCTTATCCATCATCAAACATTTACTGATCTCTGGGAAAATAAAGGGTAAGACCTGAACTGTGGTCAAGAGTCTCACAGCTTCGGTGCATTACAACAGGCTGCACTGTGGGCTTGTCCCCAAGTTCTACTTTTTACTTTGTTGGTTGTTAACATCACTGGTTACTTGTCCCAGTGGTACTGTGCCCAGAACATTACTTCTCTTAGTCTCATCCAAGCCCTTCTTTCTGTGTTTCATATGTTTGTGCAGTAGCACTGCCATTGTAAGAACGTTAGAAAACCTTATTTGGTAATTTACTAGCACATTTATTATTTAAAATTAGAAGGGGCCAGTATCACTGGTCCAGAATCCCTTTCCCACCTGATGAAAGAAAGTCCAAGTTTAAGTCGTATTTGATTCTTGGATGCTGCTTGTGGTTAAGGTGCTCAGGTGCTAACGGACATGGTGGGAGAATTGTTCATCCAGAGGTTCCTTGGGAGAAAGGCCTGGGCCAGTGCTTTGGATAGTGAATTAACGTTTAATAACTTGTCATCCAAAGGCATTTCTTTGAATGTTTTATATCCCGATTTGTTCATAATGCAGAAATACATATTTTAATAAATTTGCTTGCCTAGCTTACTCTCAGGGAAATGCTATTTGTCTTAAGGATCTGACTAAAAAAGAAATATTTTAGATCTATCAAGCTTCAACAAGCTTATCTTTGTATATCTTTAATTTTTAAAAATAGTTATTATTTCACTTGTATTATCTTTCTTAAATCTCCTAGAAAGCCAATAACTTAAGTACAGTGGAAATATTCAATGAAGTGAAAAGAAAACATAAACAAATATGCAGTAGGCCATTGCTGGGATAATTTTCCCAGTTTGGGGAAGATCTTTCTGTTAGGTTGAGTAAACAGAAACTTTTACTTTCAAAAACAGCACTCTTTGATCTGCTTAATGTTTTATTTTAAAAAACCCCAACCTTCTCTGAAACCAGAATTTGAACGAGTGGTCCTACAAGTCCACGGCTAGATACAGCTTTTTTCTTGCAGAGCTGCTGGTAGCATGAACTTTCCACCATTTGGTTTGCACTTGAACCCTTAGCTGTATTAACATATTCCAGGGCTCTGTAGCTGGCTGTCAAGTTGACTCTGAAGTGATCTTATGGAAGTAAACAGCCATATGCTGGTTGCTGGTAGGTTTGAACCTCTGAACTTTTGAAGAGCAACTGAGCATTTACTCACTGTACCACCAGTTCTCTTTCCAGTTGGCTGTAGTCTGTGGAAAATGAATTGCCATAGCTTCTTTCCAATCTCAAGCCACTTTGGCTCTGATGAGGGTTTGAGGTTTAGGAGGAGATATGACTTCACTTTAGAGCCACTCACTAAAGAATATTTCAGTTGGTGCAGGATCGATCGTTCAGTCTCCTTTCTCAGAAAACAAACCAAAAACAATGGTTTTAAGGTCAATAATGACATGTTCAAAGTTTATCCTTGTTGGTTGGAGCCCATGATTTTGCCATATTAAGAATTTCACCCATGGTATTTAACTTACACAAAATTTTTTAGCTTTATTTTCAAAGATACTGTTGATGTGATTAGGATCTTTATGTATGTGTAGCATGTAGCCTTTGCTATAAAAACCATTTTTTAAACTTAGAATTCTTAAAATTATCTATACTTGAAATATTTGATTGAAATTACTGGTTATTTAATCAAGATGTTATTTCCTGTTACAGATTGTATGCGGGCCCAGAGGTAGATATATGGAGCAGTGGGGTTATTCTCTATGCTTTATTATGTGGAACCCTTCCGTTTGATGATGATCATGTGCCAACTCTTTTTAAGAAGATATGTGATGGGATCTTTTATACTCCTCAATATTTAAACCCTTCTGTGATTAGCCTTTTGAAACATATGCTGCAGGTGGATCCAATGAAGAGGGCCACAATCAAAGATATCAGGTAATAACACAGTGTAGAGATTGTCTGGTCTAAGAGTATCCATGACACAAGTGAAGTGGAAAAAAAGATTGCAGAGTAGTATGAACAGTGTAATCCTGCTTTTATGTGAAAAACCAACAAAACAATACTTAAGCACACTTATTTGCTATTTTGGTATGTTTAAAATGCCCAGAAAAATAAATACTATAATGGTTAGCTTATAAGGTGGGAGGGCTTCCACCTTTATTTCTTCATATTCACTGTGAAATTTTTAAATGGTTTTTAAACGTAAGCAAAAAGGTAATGAAAAGAAGGACTCTGGTGGGTGATGTTAATGAAAGTTTATATTGTGCCTTAGATTTTATAAAGTATGTTTTGTGTTAGACTGTGTTCATATAAGGGTTGTAGTTAAGCTAATAATTTGATTTTCCTAATGTTATTAGTGTCAGTAAAATTAAAACCAGTGAACGATCCTGGAACATTTTCTCCCATATGTACAATGAAGTGTGAATTTGAGCAGAATTTTGGTGTAAAATTGATATATTTTAAAATATATACAATAGGCATATATTGGAATGCATATTCTAAATTCTGCAAACTATTTCTTTTCCTCCCTGTTATTTTCTCCCAGGGAACATGAATGGTTTAAACAGGACCTTCCAAAATATCTCTTTCCTGAAGATCCATCATATAGTTCAACCATGATTGATGATGAAGCCTTAAAAGAAGTATGTGAAAAATTTGAATGCTCAGAAGAGGAGGTTCTCAGTTGCCTTTATAACAGAAATCACCAGGACCCTTTGGCTGTTGCATATCACCTTATAATAGATAATAGAAGAATAATGAATGAAGCCAAAGATTTTTACTTGGCAACAAGCCCACCTGATTCTTTTCTGGATGATCACCATTTGACGCGGCCCCATCCTGAAAGAGTGCCCTTTTTGGTTGCCGAAACTCCAAGGGCTCGCCATACCCTTGATGAATTAAATCCACAGAAATCCAAACACCAAGGTGTAAGGAAAGCAAAATGGCATTTGGGAATTAGAAGTCAAAGTCGACCGAATGATATCATGGCAGAAGTTTGCAGAGCAATTAAACAATTGGATTATGAATGGAAGGTAAGGAAGAAGATTCTCATTATTAAGCACATTTGGCAAAACGGTTGTCTGTGGATTTTAAATTTTTTTTTTCCTTTCAGTAAAACAATTGCTTTAACTTTGTTTTTTGCCCATACTTCATTCATCCTAGGTTGTAAACCCTTATTATTTGCGTGTTCGAAGGAAGAATCCTGTGACAAGCACATACTCTAAAATGAGTCTTCAGTTATACCAAGTGGACAGTAGAACTTACTTGCTGGATTTCCGTAGTATTGATGGTATGTACATCACACAAAATCCATATATTAGACCTTGCAATCCAAATAGGTATTTTTTAGTCTTTGATTCCATTGAAGCTTCTTGAACTGTTTTTGTTAAATCAATACCAGAAGAATATGCATACCCTAGGCGTTTTGTGCCTTGTTGTCAACTTTTGTGACTATTAATATTCTTTCAGTCTTACAGTATGTTTCCCTATAAGATAGATTCTGATCCTAAAGTGATCGTTTTCTGCCATACATTTTTTATTTTTTGGCTTGGTTCATTAAGATAAAATGTTTTACTTAGAAATAAATATTTTTCTGTAATGTTTTATTTACTAAAGTATTTTTTGTACCTGATACTTAAGAAGAATTTAAGAATTATTATTGTTGTTGTTATGTGCCGTTGAGTCGCTTGCAACTCATAGACCCTATGTACAGCAGCCCTAAACTCTGCTCTGTCCTGTGCCAATCGCACTGTCTCCGACACTCCCATCCTGATTATCCCAGTCACTGAATCAATCTACCTCATAGAGGACCTTCCCCTCCTGCGCCGTTCCTCCACCCTCCCAAGCATGATGTCCCTCTCTAAGGACCGGTCTCTCCTCACAACATGTCTCCTCACAACATGTCCAAAGTATGTTAGACGGAGCCTCAGAATCCTTGCCTCCAAGGAGCCACCCGGTTTAACCCTCTCCAGGACAAATC